CGGGAGGCTCACAACTCTCAATCTGTCCTCTGTTTGATTCAGGTAACGTTCCGTTATAACTCTTTGATTTTATTTTAAATCTACGCTGACCACTCGCTCCGTTCTATTTGTCCTGACCTCTAGTTTTCAGCACGTCCTTTGCTCCACTTTCCCTTCTCATTGTTTGGCGTGGAAGCCTTTAGTCTGAGATACTTTCTCGTTCATTTGAAGTCGATTTACAGAGCCCAGTAGTTTTGTCTTTTGTGTTTTCAGGATGGTGGTGCTTTCTAAGGAGTATGGCTACGTCGTGCTGACCGGCGTCGCCAGCATGGTGATGGTTGGACACCTGGCCATCCGAGTGGGCAAAGCCCGGAAGAAGTACAACGTGCAGGTGAGCAGGAACACAATATAGGCCAGAGTTAAAGCCACGCATCTATGCTAAAGGCAATCCCCAGCTTTTTTCCTTTTGCAGTATCCCAAGATGTACAGTGACGACCCCGAAACTGGAAACATCTTCAACTGCATCCAGCGCGCCCACCAGAACACGTGAGTACGAAAGGAACGCGCACACACAGGAGGCCTGGTTTTGCTCCACGATGTGCTGATGTTGTCACCCCCCGACAGGCTGGAGGTCTACCCCGCCTTCCTCTTCTGCCTGGCTGTGGGCGGTTTGCACGCTCCCGTGAGTCAATGAGTGACCGGTGCCACCGCACAGCACAGATTCTGAGCCCAGATTTCCATCCGAGTGTTTCCTTTCCCTCCCCGTGTCTGTTGTAGCGTCTGGTCAGCGGGCTGGGAGTCTTGTGGATTGTCGGCAGGGAGGCTTTCGCATACGGGTACTCCACGGGAGGTAGAGTAAGACGCTTTGTGTACGTTTCTGCTTCTGAACCCGAAACGTTACCGCCACCGTTATCTTTCTTGCTCTCTGTCCCTTATCAGATCCCAAAAAGAGAATGAGGGGATTCTTTGGGAACATTGCTCTGTTGGGAATGATGCTGACCACCCTCAGCTTCGGCCGCCATCTCCTGGGCTGGACTGGACCGCGGATGGGGCCCTTCCGTCCAGTTAAAGCTTGATGACGAAGGACGGGGGGACTCTAGCGTGGACGTTGCCGTGTCCTTTTCGGGACGGTGGCACCAGATAACGCCGACGGACCTCAATCCTCGCAGCACGTGCCGATATTTGACTAGCGTAACAGGTTAGGCTCACATTCTTCAGCAATCTCACTGGTCCAGAAAAAGGATTTCCAACATGTAGACGACTGAATGTGGTAAATCTCTAAAGACGGGCACTCCCAGTGCACGGCTCTATTGTCTCAGTGTATCATTTTTACTCTCACAAAGCTAAATGAATCATCAAAAACATTGCCAGTTTGAGGATTAAAAATCTCCATGATTCAACATGGTTTCTTTTTTTCTTTTTTGTTATTGGAAAAAGGGGTCGTGCTAGGTCCACTGGCATTATCAGTCAAGCATTAGGGCGTATTAACAAAGGTGTGTGTGAGTAAAGGGAGTGGGTTTTTTCATTTTTTTTTCATCAAACTGTAGAATAGTTTATAGTACACACTGCCTGTTGGGGCAGGTGCTCCACCCCCGCTGATCTGAACACACCCCCACAATTTATTGTTACTTGACACAGGTGAAAGACAAGGACACAGCCAAATGGGTCAGAGCTCACCCTCACATTTTCATATTTTGGCTGTTATAACAACAGCATTCTACAGTCTAAATTCAGACAATCCGGGATCAAACATTTCACGGCTACATTTTTAACATTTTAATGGCACTCTGTTACACACTAAATGCTCTCGAGTAGCACTTAACGATAAAGTACAAGGAACAAGCTTGAAACCGATGCCACATTTCAGTTCCAGCACACCTGAACGAGACTCCACCATTCACCGATTACAAATAACAGCAAGCCGTAAAAATCTTCGCTTCCTAACTTTCAAGCTTGTATCCATGATGTCAGTTTGAACACTTACAAAAAAAAAAGACCAAAAAAAAGTATAGCACTTTTTATCACAACTTATCAAGTGCACATTTGTTAGAAGGCTCTAGTTTTAGCGGACATCATTAGATTTAACATTAAGTATGGAAACTATATTCAAATCCAGTCAAACTTAAACAACGTTTCCCAAAACCTCAATAACTACAATCACACAGAAGAAGAAAAAAGACTATCTTTTTTTCTTTTAGGAAGGAATACTTGGATATACTTGGATATTTTTATGGGAAAAAAATTAGTGTGTGTTTTCCCAGAGTTATGGCTTCTTTAAAAAGGACAAAGTATGACATTTCTTGAGTTTTCGTGTTGACTTTCTGTAAGACCTCATGCAGCATTAAGGCAGCAGTCTGGTTTGAAAGTGCACTTGACTAATAGTTGGTCACCTTAAGGATCCGCCTCGATGATCCTTCTTCTTTTTGGTAATTTTCGGCAGCTTTCCCGAGTGTCTCAAAGCAATTCATGTCCCCAATTAGTCTGTATCTGTTGCTGTTTGCTGTTTGAGGACTCTATGTAGCCATGATCCACATTGCGCCACCTGGCCCCTAGGGGGCAGTGTGGCCATTTGTGCCACTCTAAAGTGCTGTGCATATATAAGGTTAGGGGAAGAGAGAGGATGGTAATAATCCCTACCTAGAAAAGAAAGAACATCAAAAGTTCCCCTCAGAGGAAGGTATCCAGAGCTATGAAGGGAATGTGGAAGAATTTTGAAGACTCGACAGACGAGACCCATCTGGTTTCAGGTAAAAGTTGTTTGTTTTTTTTACATCCAAAGTGGCCCTCCTTTGGTGGTTGCTTTTCTTAAGTTCTCTGAGAGAGCGGTGGAAGTGATTGACGAGGAGAGGAGCCTCCATCAGTAGCTGTACCTGGAGAGTGGTGTGTCTTCCATCAAATCATCCTGCCGGATATGAATAAAAACAGAACAACTGAACCAAATGTTGACTAACAATAGGATTTAGAGGCGTCTAGAGAATACATCTTATCTTTAATATGAGCAACAAACTTAAAAGCACTCCGAATAGGACCTAAATATTCACTATTGCGATTTCGGTAGTGGAAAAAGATGCAAAAACATCAAACAGGTAATTAACATGAGCTAAACCTGTTGATTAACAGGTCTGTGATATGACTGGGTGTCCCGTGGAGAGGCAAGGTCTCTGAAAAGTGAAGATAAGCAGAGGTTCAGCAATAGTCCAGAAAAAAAAAGAAAGCTAGGAACGTCTGTGCGCTAATGAATCGATGCATTAGGATATCAGTAATTAAGGGATTTGCAACGTACACATCTGCCTCTCCACCATTATTGAAACGTATATTATGAATATATTTTTGCTGATTACTGATATAGGATTATTTTCTCTGGAAAAAATAAACAAAACATAAATATATATATGAAGGCACCTCTCTTTTTCCAGGAAAAACCTTCATATATCAATAAGCTAACTTCATCTATTAAAACAGCCATTAAAGGCGAGAAGAGTATCCGGGTGTCTGTGGTCCAGAATCTTTCATCGACTGGAAAAGAAATCATGCATCATGACACATTATTAAAAGCTGATTTTCACACCAATACTGAATGAGTTGGGTTATTTTTAACAGGTGGACGGTTAAAGACTTAAGGTTTAACTTGATTCGCTGTTTGGTCTGGGGAATACTGCGACACGTGAGAAACTTTTCAAATGGTTGATTAGAGTTTGGAGCTAGTGTGACCTCTTTGTTAGTGTGTTGACGTCCAGGGATATGAACCAAAAGCCCAACAGTGTTCTATTTTGGCATAAAGCTAACATTTAGGTATCCTGTGAACCCCATAATCTTTTAAACCGGCCCTTTAGCCATTCATACAAATAGATTCAGGAATTTTACCATGGGTAGATCCTGTAGCCGGTGGAACTCGGGGTGGTTCGTTCGCTGTCGGAACTTGAGGAAGAGAATAACGAAGACGACGGCGGTGGTGACGATGAACACCGACAGCAGACCGGCCAGCAGGGGGTCCAGAGGGGAGCTGGAGTGGTGGCGGGACCCCTTGAGGTCTAATGAATACAAGGAAGGAGTACCTGGTGAATGCAAGATAACTCAAACCATCATTCTATCCTTTATCCTACTGCCTTACCTTCATCTCCAACGTTGAGTTCAGAGGGAACCTCCCGGTGGGTTGGCGCTACAGGGGCCAATCCGGACGTCAAAGCCTGCGAGGAGCCGACTGCAGACTGAGAGTGCACGGTGGAGGTGGAAGTGGAGGCCGTAGAGCTTCTGTTGTGCACTGCGTGAATGGGTCGGGATGAAAAGGAAAAACTGGCCGGGGAACCGCTGGTGGGGAGGTCTCTTCCCTCAGTAGCTGAGCTTGGCTGGGGGGCGGCGTCCAGAGGGGTCGGCGGGGATGAAAGGCCGCCTGCAGCCGCGCACAAACAGTGAAGTGAGCGCAACCGGAATTAAGCACAGTCCCGGCAGCTGGAGGGGACTTTACGAGAGATTTTATGTTTATGCTTCTGCATTTACCAGACGCTTTTAACCAAAGCGACTTACAAAGTAGAAACAATGTTACAGTTATCATACGTTCTTTAAAGGAAAATCTCTAGTCAAAATCAGTGGTGAAAGCAAAGCGACAGAGGGAAGTACAGAAAGTGTAGTAGAGGGGGTATAGAGGTATGGGTATGAGTTAGGATAGGAGATGCTCTTTGAAGAGGTGGGTCTTTACGAGTTTTCTGAAGATAGACAGGGTAGCTGCTGTTCTTGTAGCTCTTGGTAGGTCATTCCACCATCTTGGAACAACACATGAAAACAGTCTAGATTGTCTTACAGTTATCATAAGTTCTCTAGAGCAAAATCTCTAGTCAGAATCAGTGGTGTAAGCAAAGAGATAGAAGGAATTATAGAAAGAGTAGTAGAGGGGGTATAGAGGTATGGGTAAGAGTTGGGATAGGAGATGCTCTTTGAAGAGGTGGGTCTTTAAGAGTTTCCTGAAGACAAACAGGGACTTGTAGCGCTTGGTAGGTCATTCCAACATCTTGGAACAACACATGAAAACAGTCTGGATTGTCTTAACCGTGGTGTAGGCACTGCTAGACCACAACCCACTGATGACCGGAGGGACTGAGTTGTGACATAAACCTTTGCAAGAGGGTTCAAGTAGATGGGAGTTTGTGCCTAACCCTTAAGTACTTTGTAGGCTAGCATCAGGGACCCCGGCCTGGGGTAACCAGTGAGAAAATCGATTGCTCAAGCCGACTTTAGCGTTCGCACGGCCTGCAGGTCTCACCTGTACTGCTTGATGATACCAAGAAATCCTATACAAATCTCAGGCATGGATGGGTTTCACACGCAGTGTGGCGTCAGGCCGACCTAATAATCATTCTGATAGAGAAAGACATAATTCTGTGATCTCTGGTGAAGCTGTCTAACCAAAGAATGGCTCAATCAGATAGAAAACGGGTTAATAAGATTTTTTCAAGCTGTGAGTCAACCCACTAAATGTTCTAAATGACTATTGAATAACCACTGGATTATATCTAACCATAGTTTCCCTTAAGGCTTTATCTGAGCAGTTACATACTTAATGAATACTCCAGGGCCGGTGGCGTTTCCAATTTTGGGGAACTACGAGGAAAGAGTTTTCTTAGAAAGAAGAGAAAAAAGAAATTGTATGTGGATGACCTGCGACTCGACAGCCTTTCTTATCAAAGGCCCGTTGCATCCCTAAAGTCAGCTCTGCCAGTCCAAGGAGTAAAGTGGAGTCACGCAGAATTTTATGCCAAATTAAAAACAAACAGGCATTGAATGCAGCAGTCACATCAAGAGTGGTTAAAAGCGCAGAACAAAGAGCATTAAACATTCTGAAGTGCCAGTCAGACACCATAAAAAACAACAATACAAACAAAAAAACACAATCACAGAAACATTTTCATCGTTTGAAGTGAGAAACTTAACTGACACCTCTTTGCCAGATGACAACTTTCGCACCTGTCTTCAGAGAAAAGGGAAATGATGATAATGGCTCTGTCTCCGTGTTTTTTTTTTTTTTGGGGGGAGTTTCTTGTCTTCTTGAAGAAGCAACAAGCATCAGCTGAGGAGCTTTATTTATCTGATCTATAAAAGGAAATCTCTTCCAAGTCCTAGCGCAGTCCTACGCACATAGAGCCCCACGCACGGCCCTAGCTCCAGTCATGTGAGGGTCAGGAGAAGGGTATATTCCTGGAACACGGTTGGCAGTCAAAACGAGTCTTAGAATGAGAACGTGGGTTGTTAAATTACAAGCGTCCAGTTTGAACCGAGTAAACAGACTGGATTAGAAAGTTACCCATGGACGGTGAGATAAATGGAGCGTTAAATCTCGTATTTTTTCAACCAAAAGAAGCGCACAGATGCGATTACCTATCAGAGATGGCGCTTCGGGGTGGGACGTGGTGCCGATGGGGGTAGGTGTGTGTTGAGATGGGGCTGCTGCAGAGCTCAGGGGGAACTGGTGAGTCTCCAGTCCTGCCTGGGTCAAAGTGTCTGGACGCACGGCTCCCTCTGTCTGGACGAGGCCTGTGGGTCCGGTTGAGGCTTCGGCTGTGCCGGCAGGACTTCCTATCGACTGTGAGGGCTCGGTTCCTGGATCCTCCACTGGGACGGGAGACTCAGAGGTTCCAGTAGGACTTTGGAACGTGCCTGTGGTGAAGACAGACGGCAGATCATGGCCCTGATCTGTGGGGGAAACAAGAAAAAAGAATAATCAAAAGGATATATGGATTCAATTGATTATCAAAAGTAAAAAATACTGTGGAAAACTGCTGAGTCACCCCTTATTTCCTTCACATTTGTGTAGTTAAAGCACACAATTGCTGAAATCCATGAACAGAAATATCAAGTACAGTTAGGAGATGACACTCTTTAGAGTAAATCTATGATCAGCATAAAACTTTCTGTCCTTTAGTCCTCAGAAATAGTTTTTGGAGTTTCCTGGAGGACATTCCAGGGCTCTTTGCTGAACGCTAGCCACCTTTTGTTTCATTCTCCGTGGAGGAGATCCCACACGGGAACGTTAAAGTCCTGGTTCTGTAAAGTACAATCAGGACTGACTGTTCCGTTGCATCGCTCCCTATTGATGGGTGCTTTTACAGCAGAGGCAGAGTGCCAGGGATGTTTCCCACTTAGTAATGGATCTGGCCGGGCCGCTATCGTGGAGACCATTTCCGATGCAGCGTCATTCAGCACAGAGATGATGCACAGCTCCACTGGGCTATTGTAATGGAGCCCTATCCTTACTGCTTCCAACAGAGAATGTGGCTACTAACGGATCTCCTGCTCAGTAACATTGGACAAACAAAGCTTTATATTAGAGGCCATTATGCATCAAAGTGTAACTGAGTTCCCTTCTCATGCCTTTCATTTAGGTCAATTTGAATACAAAGATGTTATAAAATCAGGGGCCTTCGCTCTGGATGAGTAAATGCAAGTTGAAACAGTCTTAATGGGCAGTTTTTTAACCACAAGAAAGTAACAGGAACAATATGTAAATCTGACCCGCTTCACTAATAATCCACCTGCTTTTTTCTACGAGAAGATATGAGAAATAAACCATTGGAACATGTTTGAGGCAACTGGGTCCATTTAACCAAATGAGTTGAGCTGAGAATAAATCCCTAACCACGTCATTTGTATGTGCTGTACCTATTTGGAAAAGCTCAATTTGGGTGTATAAAAAATGCTAAAAGAGCAATGGTTGGATCAGCTGAGGGCTCAGATGCAGCTCTCAGGTTCTGTGTCAGACGTTTTTGGACTGTTTCCTCAATCATGTAAGTCTCCTTTTGTCCTCCTCTTGTCCGGTCGGTTTTAAGGACACACTACGCACAGTGATGAGATCTGTAAAGTTTACAGCAAATGGCTGCTTGGGAATCACCTTGTGGCAACATTTTAACAGTGACAAAATGTCTAAAGATACTATTTGCAGAGTTGTCAGTCACACAGAGACAACAAACTGGATCACCCTTTGAGTTAGTAGCCTTATTTTAAATGCTTGAACGGTTTTGGTGGTCCGTGTTGAGCCGTGGAGGGAAAACAGTCCAAAGAAAAGCTTCCGAAATTCTTTTAAAAGGTCAGAAAGAAGCAATGCTCCGGACTACTTTCAAATATTACAAGAAAGTCTGGATGCTGGAAAGCAGAATACAAGCAATGAGGCATACATCCATACTTCTGCAAACCATTGTCCACTCAGAGAGATAACAATAAAAAAAACCCAGAATGACTGAATTAGTTTTGGATTTTGGTGTCATTTAGCAATTGTTTACTTATTTAATCATTTAGATAAATAATATAATAATGGACAAAAGGGTTCTCCATAGTTGCTTATCAGATTGTGAAAAGATTATTGTGTGAGATGTGACTGTTTAAAAGTTCTTAAGAATCCAGAATTAATTAGCTTATTCTTCGTTTGTTAACTGGTTGTGATTCAGTCAACCTCTCATGCAACAGCTTTTATTTCAGTTTGGCCATGAAATACACACAAGTAAAAGGGAAACTGGACAGGGGATGTCCGAAATAAAAAAAAGAAAAAGACAGGCCTCTTCCTCGAACAATTCCAACCGTGTTGATCAGAGATAATCCAAATGATCTGTCCTCATATTGCTGAGGTGTTGAACCCAAAATAAAAAAAAGTTAACAAAACAAAAAGAAAAGCAAACTCCACCAAAATTCTACAGCTGTGTGAATATTAAACACAGGATCGGGAGCATCATTTTCAGCCCACGCCAGACGCACAAACCCCCACGAACACGCATCCCACATCCACCTTACCTGTGGTCTGCGATGAGCCAGGAAGCAGCAGCAGCATGCAAAACGCCAAGTGGATTTCAGATTTCATCTCTCCTCCGCGGCAGGCTTCTCTCCCCCCCACGATAAAGGTGGCAGTGGATCGGGCTCTGCGCGGCGGCGGCGGCTCCTCTCTCTGCTGTTGTTTCCGTTACGCGCTTTGACAGCGCTCATCATCGGCGCTAAAAATATCCTGAGGGAGTCGGGCAGAAGAGAGGCGGGCAGGGGTGGGGCCGCGCGGCGTGGCGTGGCCGGCCGCGCGCGGGTGGGAGCGGAAAAACAGACGCGCGCTACTCTTTTTTTTTTTTTTTTTTAATCTTTGGAGTGGCTGTGTGTGCAGTTTTTGAGGGGACCTTGCAAATTCACGCTCCAACCTTCCCCCCCAAACCCC